AACGTTAACTCTGATGTCTCTCCACAGATGCTGCCAGACCTGCTGAGATTTTCCAGCAATTTCTGTTTTTGTTTCTTTAATGTTGACATGGTTTCTATCTTAGTCACTAACATTATAGCAGCTCAAAGCCTCAGCGGTCCTGTGATAAAATATTTTTTTGACTTATTATTCAGTTTTAATCTTGTAACCATAAGTCTCTTCTTCTAAAGTTCTCAATTTACTGGAAACAATTTGCTTCAATTTACTCCTTCAGCAAGCATAATTTTAAACATTTTTACTGAATTGTTATGGTTCTTTCAAAAACAGTTGCAATTTCTCAAGCTTCTTCATTTTGTATTTCCTCATACTAGACAGCACACTAATGAATCAGCGTTGTATGCTCTCTAAACTCAATATCCTGCCTAATCTGAAGGTCCAATAGTGCATACAGAAATCTGACTGACACTAAGATTTTAGACAGGGTCAATTGTTACTTCTTGGGATCTTATATTTCATTAGTCTATAGCAGTCTTTTAGTTATATATTTTGAATATAGTCATAACCAGCTAAATACCTCATTTAAAATTTCGTGAACTTGAACTTATAAAATATTCTGCTTTCGCGTCATCCAACCTCCCCTCACTTAAATTATTTCTTGTGGAAATCAAGATATACCAACTCATAAGAATTGGCATTGACAGCATATAGGGGATGGAGTGGGGTGGGGTTGGAGGTGAAGGAAAGGAAGAGGCACCTAGAGTAGGAAGTGACTTGTATGGAATCTAGATCTTATCTAACAACTCAATACCATTCATATCACTCTTCCAACCAGACGTACTTTGTTGCTTTCCACTTATGGTAGATTTTTTTCACAACCTCAAGTCCAAGATGAATGGACTTGGAATATTTCTGCATGTAACTGACAAATGCTATCTGCCTGTTCACTGCAAGTAGATCATTAAGCATCTCCGGCCTATTCCACTATCCAATGAAGTAATAATCTACAACCCAACTCCTTTGCTTCATGTAGCTTAATGACTTTGGTTCACAAGAATCTATTCAACGTCCATCTTCAAAGTAACATTTCATCGAACACCTGGCCTCAGCGTGGACTCAGACTCCTGGCCTCAAGGTGAAGCCCTGTGCAGTCTGGGTTGGACGGACTGTTATTCTGAACTATTATATCTCTATTTTCCTAATTTATTGCTGGCATTTTCATTTTTATATTTTTCTAATTTTTTCCCCTAAAAATTTGTACTTAAGAATCCATACCTAGGTACCTTGGTACCCAAGATGGTGCCATAAGTGGCGACTTGTAAACCCTTCACTGTACTCACGTGAATACATATGACAATAAAGCTAATTCTTGTCTTTTATGGCAGCAAGTTCCAAATTTCTACCATCATATGTGTACAAACTTCTGCCTTGAATGGTCTAACTCTGATTTTGGACTACACTACCTACACCCTTCTACACTCTCTGAAATGCAAAATTGTTTTTCTCTATCACATCTGTTTCATATAATATTGTGAAAATATCAATCATCTCACCCCTTAACTTTCTAAACTCCAGGAATACAATCCTAGATAGAGTAATCCTTCCTCATAATTTACGACTCTTAAGTCCAGGAATAGTTCTGATAAATCCACACTGTATTCCTTCAAAGACATTCCTTCTCAAAATATAGCACCTGCTTACAGTGCTCCAGTTGTAGTTTTACCAAGGCTTCATAAAGCTTGTGTTCTAGGCCTTTAAAACTTCATTTAGTCTTTCTGATTATTTTCTGTATCTGTTCATGATATTTCAATGATCTTCATACCTGGGTCCCTAAGCTTCCTTTGACATCTGCTATTTATAGTTTTTCACCATTTGGAAAGAACCCCTTTCTATCCTTTCTAAGCCTAAAGTGGAAGATCTTATATTTGGCCATGCTGAAATCTATTTGGAACAGTTTCATCCCTTTTCTTAGCCTATATGTATCTCTTTCAAAATTATGGTCCCACTTACATTACTTAAAACATCACCTGTCCATAGTTCTGAAAGTAGTGTTCTATTACATAATTTAAATTGTTAATAAATGCAGTGAATACGTTAGGCCCAACACAGATCCGTGAGGACATCATAGGTCACATTCCATGTATTAGGGCACCTGTTCATTATCGCGATTCCTGTCTTCTGCTGCTCAGTCAATTTCCTAATCATAACAATAATCTTGTTTCATTTCCCTGAGTTTCAGCTTTAGTTAACAGTCTCTTATGAGGAACTTTGTCAAATGCTATCTGGAGGAACATATAATTAACATCCATAGATAGATGCCTGTCAACTGTTTAACCACCTCCTGAAAAAAATACAAACAAACTATTCAGGCATGTCCTACCGATTACAAATGAGCCACAACAGTTCAAGGAGGCAACTCTTGGGATGGCATGGTGGCTCAGTGGTTAGCACTGCTGCCTCACAGTGCCAGAGGCCTGGGTTTGATTCCAGCCTTGGGCCACTGTCTGTGTGGAGTTTGCATATTCTCCCCGGGTCTGCATGGGTTTCTTCCCACAGTCCAACGATGTGCAGGCTAGGTGGATTAGCCATGCTAAATTGCCCATCGTGTCCAGGGATGTGTAGATTAGGTGGGTCTGGGTGGAATGCGCTGGGGGTTGAGGTGAACTTGTTGGGCTAAAGGGCTGTTTCCACACTGCAGGCATTCTATGATCACCTTCTCAAGGGCAATTAGGAATGGGAAATGAAAGCTGGCCCAGCCGGTGATGACCACGTCCTATCAGAAATTCCTCTCTCTCTAGCATCTCCACTTTCCTGCCTTCTGTGAATATTTTGCAAATGTTGAATCCCAAGTCCATGCACATACTTTTGCAATGTTCCATTTAATTCTCACTAATCCGTACTATAGTGGCCTTGATCCAAATCAGAAAGACTATGCGACTATGCTGTTTTCTCTCATTTCATCCTCTTATGCATCTAACTAGTCTCCCGTCCTCTATCCTCTTAACTGAAGTTCATCCATACATGCTGCCAATATCAACTCTTTACTATGTCCCACTTGCCTGTCAACCCAATCCTTACTGGGTTAATTTAGTTCTCAAATTTAAAATTTAAAATTCTCATTTTTCTGTTTTCATGAGCTTTGCTCAATTCTTGCCATAACCTAGAGAAGCTGTAGAATCTTCTGTCAGCTCGGCCCTTCTTGAGTCCTCGCAGACAAATGAACATTGCCTTCTGAATCTACTCTCTCGAACATCTGAATTTACTTTACCAGAATTCTCCATCTTCGGATTCGTCACGCAGTCGATCTCTTTCTTCACCAGGGATGCAATCCCACTCAGGTGCCCTGTAATAAGGTGAATAATTGGAAAAAAGAAGTTATGTTGTTACAAGTTGTAGGAAATGATATGTGAGCAAAAAAACACCAGCTTTCATTACAACAAGATTCATTATTTATACAGCTGGCAACATGATTTTGCCAATATGCTTAAACTCTTGGGAACAATGTAGCTGACAATGGAGTCCTGTATGTTATTTATTGATTTGAGTTATATATAACGCACATTTTTTTGAAAGGGCTGGATTTATCTTTTTTTGATTTACAGGATTAGAAAAACTTCAAGAGTGGTGCAAAATATATTTCTTTTCATTCATGCGTTAGATCAAACCCTGAGTTCCCCTCACAATTCTGAACCCCATTTTGCATCTGGGGGAAGGAAAAGTAAGTTTAGCCACTGGGGGAATCTCAGTGTGAGAAAAGAATAGATTTACAACTGTTCATTTTTCTGTTTATTGAAATAAAAGACTTTGTACATGTTTGCTGTGCTTTGGTGTTCATAAAATCATACAGGAAATTATGCACCAGTTTCATAACAATCAATCAGTGTTTACTTTGGTCACAATCATGCAGAGACAGAGATTTGAGCTGTACTGATGTTCGAGGATACTTGAGCTAAATAAGTTTTTCTTTTTCTGGATCGTAAGGTAAAAAAGTCACTGAAGTTCTGAGAGCAATGGTCCCTCTGATATCCCCCCTCAAGTATTAATGTCTCCAATACAGCTGAGGCTGTCTCTTCAAAATTGGCTTTTCTTTATGAAGAGGTTATGGAATAACCAAAGGGCCAACAACTATGTGTACACAGAAGCTACAGCATATTGAAGATCCCCCTCTTGACCTGATAATGCAATATCATTGACTTCAAGAGCTTAATGGACATCATGATAGCTGCTCTGATAAAGGTATATCCTTGCAATTCTCTTCTGCTGCTGTTTCATAGTGAATCATTAACGTTTTTTAAATTTATTCATGAGATTTGAATATTTATTGCCCATCCTCAATTGCCCTTGAGAAGTTGGTGGTGAGCTGCCTTCTTGAACTGGTATAATCTATGTGATGTTAAGTACTGTGCTGTTGGGAAGGCACTTTCAGGATTTTGGTCCAACACTGGTGAAGGAATAGTGACATAGTTCTAAACCATGTCGGTGAGAGACATGAAGGGGAGTGTACAGGAGCTCATACTCCCAAGTGCCTCAGCTCTTGTTCTTCTAGGTGGTAGGCTTGGAAGATGCTGTTCAAGCATCCTTGGAGAGTTGCTATAATGCATCTGTCACTGTGCAACAGTGGGGAAGGAGTGACTTTTAATGTTTACATTACGTATATTTAGGCTATGGTACAAGGGTCTGGTTTGTCACTCACAAACTGTCCATTGACATGGAAGTGTAAGATTCTGAAGGACAAATTCATTGTGACAGTTTCAACAAGACAGTAATTGCAGCAGAAATGCAAGTCTATATAACCAAAAGAACCTACTCGTCACACCAGCTTCCAGTCCATTCCACTTGACCCCAAGGGTTCCTGATTCGGATCAGTTTCTCTTCATCACCTTGATAATTCACCTGTAAGGGTTAAAATACAAGGACAGTCCCATAATGTTTCTTTTTCACCTGTAGCGTCATGAATTAATATTCACAGCTGGATGTGAAGTACACACTAGGAAAAAAATGAAAAGCAGTTACTTCAGGTTTTTGACTGAAGCATTTATCTTTCAGGACTCATAATTAGCTTTTCTGTCCCAATGTAAGAAGACTTTTGCACAATTCATTAGTGATATGACCACGTTGTGAAATATCACTGACTCTACAAATTGAAGTGGATGGGTAGTTTTCAAGCACTCATGACCTCAAAGGTTTGTTACATCTTTTGACTAAACGTATCCATATCTCCATGCTACAAACATGGACAAAAAGCAACTCCTTATGCTATTGCACTAAATATTTTAATTTTGATCCACTCAATTTTGACCGAGAGTGAAATTTCATTCAATTAACAGGAAACAAACAAACAAACAAACAAACAAACAATCTGCATTCATCAGTAGGTCAAATTATTCATTTCTACATATCTATTCAGGTTGAGAGAAAGCTCAAGACAGTTGAATATTGCAGGAACAAAACAGATTTGCATAAACAATTAACAAGCACAGTTCAGCTAATTTTCTGAAGTGCATAACTGCCCTACTGCAACCTGGAAGGTATTGACCTTCTTGAGAATGCCAAGTAGATGCACCTTAAGGATGAGAATAATCTTCAGCAGCTGGCAAAATTGAATAAACTTTTTAGATTTAAGAAAGATTAGCATCAGTATTCAACACAGTCTCCATGTAAATACTGTTTCAGATATGTGCACCCACCGTCCTACTTCTGATAAATTCATTGAGTTTTAGCTTTTTTGTTGTAAAGTTATTATAACAAATCTCAATTGCAATTAGCCCGCTGCAGTAGTCACCATGAACACCTCTCTACATTAGAGTTTGCTATTAGAAAATTTGATTTTATTAGATTATCATCCAGATCCCTACAAAAACTTTTTAAAAAACTCATTGCAAATATCGATCACCGGGATTGAATCTTGGCCTGTACGGAATTAGTTGATCTCAAACAGGATGCGGATTCAGGCTAGGGCATGGGGAATACACGGGGAAAATCTGGCTTTGTGCATTAGGTGAAGAGGGTGACGGAATGGCAAAAGGACACTTGCTGTTGGACATCAGCTACAGGTATCGGCCAAAAAAGAGTTTATCAAGTTGGAGGAGAGAAAATAAGCTGGGCTTATCTTGCATCTCAGGATGAATTTGGTGAATGGTTCAGCCAGATATGGCAATAAGAAACTAAACCAATTATGTTCCAGTCATGTTCATGTCTGTGCCATTTGGACTTGAGAGTTGATAAAGTGACCAAGGTGGAAGAAAATAAGGGTTCTGTTGGGAACATGGATTAAAAGGCAGAGGTGAGAGAATTTTTGAGCAGTTTAGCAGCTGTACAGTTGCTATAGGAACTGGATGATCAAATACCAGATATTTGAGATTTAAAGGGACAGGCATGAGTGACTATGTCAGACAATGAGCTGGGTATCAAAGGCTTAATGCACCAGGACAACCAACTGTATGTTGGATTTGGCAGATATCAGAGAGAAATGACATCACTCTTTCAAATAACATTACATATTTTGGAGAAATTAAAAAGGAGGAGCATTAAAATTTCACCATTTGACACTTACTGTTTCTGCTCCAGTGACAGAGTAAGCATGGCCCTTGACCAACTTTTGTGAAGTAATTGCTTCAGTCTCTGCTGAGCTGGTGATCTAATGAACAAGAGTATCAGTGTTAAATGGTCAACAGTCAGATTATCATTGAGAAAAATACTTTTAGTCACTATGATACATAATTTTCATGTTGTTTAATATTTTTTAATCGGAGCGTGAAATTTTATCAAGTATAGTATTTTGCATTTGAGAATCTGAAACAACCAAGATCCATATTCTACTACATTACCAAATGAAGAAGTGTAGGAGAAGGTGAGGTAAATCATAAAGTTATTATCTGATGCTAAAGCAGAGCTTCAAAGGTTTGGAGATTATAGATGGAAGGAACAGTGAAGCAGGCAAGGAATTCCTCAGTCTTGGAGCCCTAGAAAATAATTAGATAGGAGAGAACAGGAGTGCAATAAAACAGCAAAGGCATAGGGATCAAAAGCAGTATGCAGTTCAGTATACTTGGAGACTGTCACTACGGCTTGCAGGTTACACAAGTATCAACAATTTAAAGAGTACAAATATCAAGTCTCAGAATCAAAAGCAAAAATATTGCAAAAAAGAAATTAAAATTTTAATCTGTCTCAACTGAATTATGACAGCCTAAAATATAATAAAAAGGCAAAATACTGCAGATGCTGGCATTCAGAAATAAAAACAAAAAGTGCTGGAGAAACTCTGCAGGTCTGGTAGCATCTGTGGAGAGAGAAACAGTTAATGTTTTAGGTTCAATGAATCTCCTTCAGCAATATTCTGAAGAAGTCATGCAAGACTCAAAACGTTAACTCTTTTTCTCTTTCCACCAATGATGCCAGACATGCTGAGCTTCTGCAACACTTTATTTTTATTTCTGATCTTAATATGCACTTTGAACTTGAATCATGAATTTATAGCCTAATGTACCCAGTCACCAGGCTGATTCTTTATCCCTGGGCAGACTGCATTCACTTCATGAAGAATACTGGTTTTCATTGAATGGAAAGAAATTTAGGGGTATGTGACTGGATTACCAGAAGTGATGTCTACTCTATCCTACAATTCCTAATACACCCACAGTGTGTCAGACCATACATTCATATGTAATGCTGAGCTGTGAAGGATGTTCACTCATGCCCATGAAAGAAAATAAACTGTCACTTAAACAAAGTAAAAAAAATTGGAAGTCCTCCAATGGAGATGACGATGAGAATATTTAATTGAATTTAATCAATATTTGTGGAAGTGGATAGTTTTTGGGATCAGCAGCTAAGTGCACGGCGAGGCAGGATTTTCTGACTGTCCTTAGACGTAAAGGAACATTTGGATGTCGTACGTAGAGGCAAATTGTTTTGGAGGACTGCATTGGTAACTGAACATACCCATCCACACACCCACCATTTAACATAAACAACATAATTAGACTGGTTCTGTTACATGTTATTCTATTTATTTTCATATATTTGATGTAGTATGCTGAAGCATTCAGGAAATTTTACATCACAGATTAAGTCAAGAATACAAAGACAAAGTTCAAGTATTGGTTCAGTTTAGCATGCTGGTCCACTGCTACTTTTTCTGCTAAGACAGAGCTCTACATTTCTGGAATGAGTTTTCAAACACGGTTGCTTCAGAAACTAAGAGTTACTTGAAAGCTAATAGGTTCCCTGTAGTGCAGGATAGTCAGGCAAGATCTAACAACGCTCCCTTTTTCACTGAAGTAGATGCTGTACTCTGCGCTTTAAGTGTCCAGCAAGCTTCAACAAGAAAGATGCTACTCCAAGTATTAATTTGAAATCTCAGCAACGTGCCTTCCCTTTATCCATAAATCTCATTTTTAGTCCCTAATAGGCCCCTCCTTCTCTTACTACCCTTTTATTATTTATATGTCCAGAAATGATTTTTGGATTCCCTTTTATGTTAGTTGCAGTCTTTCTTTCTTTCTTATTTTCTTTTCAATTCTCTTCAGAACCTTTTTATATTCAGCTTGGTTCTCAATTGTATTGTCCACCCGATATCTGTGATGAGTGCACTTTTTCTGCTCCATCTCAATATCTCTCCCTTTTTTCATCCAGGGAGCTTTATTTTTGTTTGCGCTATCTTTCTCCTTCAGAGGAATATACCTTGATAGTACTTGAATTATATATTTTCTACAGGCATTTAAAATTTTGGCTGCTATCCTTGGATTCCAATTTATCTGTACTAGATCCATTCTTAACACATTGAACCTGGTTATCTCCTAGTCAATTATTCTTACTTGTAATTGCTCTCTGCCCTTTTCCATAGCCAATCAAATCAAAACTTTATGATTCAAAGACTTCTGACCCCAAATAACACAGTGTGGAGCTGGAGGAACACAGCAGGCCAGGCAGC